CAAAAACACATTTTTTGGACATTTTGGAGATTTTCAGGCTGGATATGGGCCAAATTAGCTCCAGTCTACTTAAAAAGTCATTTGCAACATGACAGCATGCTTTTCTTTCCACTAGCATGGCGTTTTACGACATGTTTGCTCAGGCATGCACAGAAATCAAAATTTTGGACAGGAAAGTGCCCTACGTCTTTAGGCTTTTCTTCTTTTTTAATTTTAATTTTTTGCCTTTCCTTTTTCTCCTTTTCTTATCTTTTTGCTGCAGTAATTGACCTTCTACTGGGCTTGCTTCAAGTTCAAAAAAGTCTGAGAAAGCATCATAGAGACAGGCAATTTTTACCCTGGAGTAGCCATGTGTAGTCGCAGGAAATTTTGCTCTGAGGTTTTCACTCAAATTTCTGAGCATTTTCGTGTATATTTCAGGCTCCATTGAGCCGATCACACTGATCTGGGCATCACTGGAAAGATCTTTTCCTCCTGCGAAAGTTGAGTATAGATGATGCCAATTTTGGTCAAAGCTGATGATGTCAGAAGTGGAACAAAGGCGAAGGCTTGTCAGAGGCAGTTACGGGCGGCATGGGAGTCAATGGATTAATAATATTTTGTTTTTTTTCTACAGGGAAAAAGAGATGGAAGATAGGAAGCGTAAAGAAAGGGTAAGCATAAAATTATGTGTTGTCTTTTAAAATAGCCTCATCATATTCAAGTCACCCTCAAAAAGGGGCGGGTGGGGGGGAGGAGCACAATTTGTGTAAAAAAGAGGTCCTTGTATTGTAAAAGTACTGTCCTTTAAAGTCTGTGATATTTTTGCTTGATATTTGTTTTCTGAAAAGTGTTAACTTGAACCCTGCTCTCTCTTCCCCATTTGAATTCTCACATTAACTGCAGGGCAATTGGCAAATTATTCTGAAGGAGTAAATTATGAGAAAAGAGTGGAGGGAGAGAAACAAGCAATAGTCTATACATTTTGTAACACTTCTGGTAGGATTGTACCACTTGCCTTTAGGAGAGTGACATTTACTTCAGCAATGTTTCTAATCGTGACTGCATTATTTTCAATTCATTAGGAAAGAAAGCTTGAAGAGGTGTGTGATGTTTTTTTTACTCAAAATC